ATGGAGGGCAGCAGATGCCCACCAGAAGATCCTTACAGGGTTACCGTGTCCTGGTAGCACCACCAAGGCCTTATTGTAAAGGGATTTTATCAGAAAATGGATTTTAACAGTACACTCAGAATTAGACTAGACAATGGGATCATGCTAACCCAACTCGTAAGAGACTGTTCTGTAACAAGAAATACCACTGCTCTGCAGATCAGAAGATGCTTCAGAACATTCCATTCCTATAGAAACGTCTGTATGAGAAGTCAAATTATGATCAGATTTCTTAGTAACCATAGACTCAGGATGGGGTAAAAGGTGCCCTGGGTGGCACAAATGGTTTATACTTGGCTACTAAGCGAAAGGTTGGTGGTTTGAAGCCACCCAGCAGTGCTGTGGAAGAAAGGTCTGGTGATCTGCTTCCATAAAGATTACAGTCATCGAAAACCCTGTGGAGCACAGTTCTACGCGGACACACTTGGGGTTGCCGTGAGCTGGAGTTGGCCTGATGGCAGCTGGTTGTTCAGGCGGAGCTCCAGGCCTCAGACATCACTCCCCTGGCCTTTCTTCCAGCGACTAGCTCAGGTTAGAGCAAACGACGAAAGTCTGTCCAGAGTAGATCTCAAGATTTTGCTGGGAATGCTGGGGAAAAAAAAATATTTTTTTTCTTGTGGATTTGAATTTGGAAGGTTTAGTAACTACTGGCAGCCATTTTGTGATCACGAGGAAGAACCTATCTCTGAATGGAGTCAATGAAGAGGAAGCAGAGTGGTGATGGAATTGAGACCCTGGGTCCTGACTCCATACCCAACTGCACCTTTGAATCTGTTCAGTTACGTGAGCCAGTACCTTCTCTGTTTTTAAAGTGATTTTTGCATCGGGTTTTCTTTTTTTCCACTTGCAACCAAAAGAATTCTGATACAACTTCTTTTACGAAATGCATTTAAGAATACATTTATTTTGTCCTATCGGGCACCATGAGTCGGAATCGACTCAATGGAAACTAACAATAACATGCCCATGGCCAAAGAAATTGCCCAGATAGCTGTTTTCTTGTTCAATTATCAACAAATATATGTTGGACCCTGTTACATGGTCAGCTTCAGCAAAGTTGAAGAAAGTTCCCTGTGCTACAATCGAATTGCAATTCATAATCTGTGTTTTCCCTCTCTTGAGGAACACAACTCCATTTTACCCAGGTATGTTCTGATTCAGGAATGTGCTGGTTGGTTACCTCCTGTCTCTCAGCACCAAGCCCTGTCTTATACTCTGCTCTGTGATGGGTGGAACTCTGCAAGCCTCATTTGCCAGCCTACCTTACCAGCTGGCTTCCTGTTAGGTTCAGTAAATGGGAAGCGCTAAGTGACTGGACTAGGAGCCCTGGTGGTGCAATGGTTAAGCGCTTGGCTGCTAGCTGGAAGGTTGGCAGTTTGAACCCACCAGTGGCTCCATGGGAGAAAGATCTGGCGATCTGCTCCCATAAAGATTACAGCCTAGGAAACCCTATGGGGCAGTTATGTTCTGTCCTGTCATGCAGGGTCACTATGAGTTGGAATTGACTGAAGGTCACCTAACATCAATAGGCGACTGGAATGTGGGAGGAGAGAATTCACTGGCAAATGCTCCTGTTTCCAGTTCCTGAATATGTCGGTCTTGTGGCGGCAGACAGCAGATAAGGTAGCTGCGGGGACATGTATACCTCATCTCCTGATGGGAGGAGAGCCAAAGAATTTGTAGCCAAAGATCTTTAGTCTGCCACAACCATGAAGATAAGAAAGGCCCTGGAATTCCTCCTCCTCCAAGGATAGTAAAACAAAAGCAATTCAACTTCTCTGGGGAAATTGCAGGAGCCCTAGGGCACAGCGGCTAAGGGCTTGGCCACTAACCCAAAGGTCAGCGGTTGGAACCCACCTGCCGCTCCAGGGGAGAAAGATGTGGTAGTCTTCTTCCGTAAAGATTTAAGGCCTTGGAAACCCTATGGGGTTCCGCTCTGTCCTGTGAGTTAGAATCAACTCGATAGCAGTAGGTTTGGTTTTGGTTTGGGGAAATTGCAGAGATTAGTGCCTTCATCAAAGACTTGAAATGTTTGGGGAGTGTGATCCTCATCTTCATTTGACTCACCTGTTTAGACCATGTAGAAGGTGAATAGATCTTGAGGATGCTATTTTCTTGCTCAGTTAATCAATAAATGTATATTGCTGTCATGGATTGAATTGTGTCCACCAAAAATATGTGTATCCATTTGGCTAGGCCATGATTCCCAGTATTGTGTGATTGTCCACCATTTTGTCATCTGATGTGATTTTCCTATGGGTTATAAATCCTATCACTATGATGTTAATGAGATGGATTAGTGGCAATTGTGTTGATGAGATCTACAGATTTGATTGTGTCTTAAGCTAATCTCTGGAGAGACATGGTGACCTCATATCACCAAGAAAGCAACGCTGGGAGCAGAGCATGTACTTTGGACCTGAGGTTCCTGTGCTGAGAAGCTCCTAGTCCAGGGGAAGATTGATGAGAAGGACCTTCCTCCAGAGCCAACAGAGAGAGAAAGCCTTCCCCTGGAGCTGACACCCTGAATTTGGACTTCTAACTTACTAGCCTGTGAGAAAATAAATTTTCCTTTGTTAAAGCCATCCACTTGTGGTATTTCTGTTATAGGAGCACTAAATAACTAAGACAAGCACCTAATATGTGTCCAATTGCAGTGAAGTTCAAACGTTCTTGTACTACAGTCTAATTGCAATCTATAGTCTATAATTTCCTTCTCTTCTCATCTCCCTAATGAATTATTGATACAGGAATGGGTAGGATTTTTGCCAGGGAGAATCAGTGTCCCAGAAAAGAGGCGTTCTGGGCAGAGGGGATGGTGTAAGGCATATGTGAGGACCGGTGAGCAGTCTGATTTTGCTGGAGGATGTGGCATGTAGAGGAGAGTGCTGGGGCACAACACCCATACTAAGGACCCCCTGATATGCCCAGGCTGGAGTTCCTTGGAGAGCATAGCTCACTGCTCTCGTATGAGTAGGACTTAGGAGGAATCTGTAGGTAGACCAGCTTAATTGCGTCCTGGGCACTGTCTATTTGGCAACGGAAAGTGGCAGGTAGTGCAGTGGTTAAGTGAGTGGCTGCTAACCGAAAGGTCGGTGGTTAGAACCTACCAGCCTCCCCTCTGGAGTAAGATGTGGCAGTCTGCTTCTGTAAAAATCACAGCCTTGGAAACCCTCTGGGGCAGTTCTACTCTGTCCTATAGGGTCACTATGAGTCGGAATTGACTCGCCAGCAATTGGTTTGGTTTTGGTTTTAGTGGCGGGTACACAGGAGGATTACTAATGATACTTGGTATGTATTAGGCACTGGCCATGTGTCAGACATGCTAAGTGACTGATAAAGGAAGGCACTAACGACCTTCTTATATCAGTCATTCTTAGATAATGAAACTGGTATTAGAGATGCCAACAGATAGAGTTAGACGTTGTGTGACTCATACATAGTGGAGGGGGAGGTGGAACCCATGCACTCTGATGTCAGAGCCTGCTCTCCACCCATTCCTCGAGTGCCCCCACCCAGGAGTAAGAGTGAAATTAATCCTGGACCAGCAAAAGCCCACACGGTGCATGTCACCTGTAAAGTCCCATTGGGTAGGGAATCAGGGCATGCTATGGGGTCAAATGAATGTGATTCCACTGCCCTGGCTCAGGCCCTGCCAAACTCAACAGGCAGCCTGAACCAAATTACTTAAGCTCTCTGTGCCTCAGTTTCCAGCTGTGAAATGCAGACACTCATACTGCCTTTTTCAGAGGCTTTGGAGAGGATTAATTCCAATATGTATAAAATGCTTAACAACATCGGACATGTCATAAGTGCTTGGTGGGGGTTAGATGCTCTTGATGGTATGCTGTCGTGAGAATCTTTCTCAAGCTGGAACACACTGCCTGCTGTCTCCTTCTCTGACGAAGCCTGGATTTCAGGACACGGGAGCCGGGCAGCCCTCTCCCTGTTTGGTATTCTGGAAAACAGTCCCACTCCAGGAACAAAGGTATTTTGACATGAGCCATTATGCCCAGTGTGTTCCTAACACGGTTAAATACCACTGCCCAAGGATTCAGCGTGCTGATCATCTATCTAGGGGGAGGTGGGGCCCAGGATAGGTGGGCTTGCTTCCTGTGTGGAGGAGGCCTGGTGTCCTGCCCTGCTCCTCGCAGCATTAGGATGTGCTACTCTTCCTGTAGGCACCCTGGATCAAGACGTGGGGCCTGGGAAGCAGCATCTACCCAGACCCTACCCTCTGAAGAGGACATCCTGGTGTATCTCAAAGGCTTCCCAACCTATGGGAACCAAATGGCCTGATGGAATATTCAATTAACTGACCTGCAAGGGACCTGAGGAAACCACCCAGCTGAAGGTTGAACATCTGGGACACTTTGAAGAATAAACAATTGAGCTTCATTCTGCAGAGGCATGCTCTGATTTGTATAGAGACTTGAGAAACTGAGACTTTTACAATTTGTCACCTTCACACCCCTCCTTTCTCATCAGTCCCAAATTCTTCTTTGTCTGCGCACCAGTTAAAGAGATTACTTGAGACCGACTCATTTAAGACTGGGGCCTGGCGGCATAGTGGTTAAGAGCTCAGCTGCTAACCAAAAGGTTGGCAGTTCGAATCCACCAGCCACTCCTTGGAGACCCTATGGGGCAGTTCTACTCTGTCCTAAAGGGTCCCTGTAGGTCGGAATCGACTCGATGGCACCTAACAGCAACACCTAAGACTCTCTTGTCCTTGTCAATGTATGGATTTTGACAATTCATGGTCATCAAATGCCCTGAGCCTCATGGCCCTGGCCTAAAGACCAGATGTATCATCATATCACAGATGTGCAAACTGAGGCACTGAAAGGTTAAGTTTAAAGTCATGTAAAGATGCAGAAAAGGCACCTTAGTTTGGGGCTTTGACCATTGTGGCTACTCATCTGAAATGTTGGCAGGCACACCATTTTTAATAGACATCAATGTTTGCATGCCAAATAGTTTTAATATACATCACTGATTTCTAAGATTAAAAAAGAAACACAGAATTTTCCAAAGGAAAGATGTATTAAAAAACAAAACACTATTCAGCATGATGCCACTCCAGGTTAAAACAAATGCTTTATGATTTAGACCTCAGAGAAAATCCTCGATGCCTTTACTCCACAGTTTGAAGCTGGTCTCTCTGCAAACTTGAACGCTTCCTGTTAATTAGACCGACCTCAGACGCTTTCAGAATTCCGGTGAGCCATAAAGCATGTCACGGAAGGCTTGGGTTTGTGGAAAGCCCGGTCTGTGAGCTCATGGTCTCCACAGACTCTTTCAGCATCTAGACTAAAGAGCAGTAATTCTCTTGGCCATCTGTCCATTTCTGTTAACTGGAAATTTCCATACATCTCTGCTTCTGGAAATCACTTTGGAAACTTAGGCGAAGAGGATTCCCTTTGCTTTTAGTCTGGCAGCAAGAAGGAGCTTCAGAACTCACTGGGGGTCAGAATTCAGTAGGGTATGTTTCTAAAGTGCAACTGTGCTCCCTCGGGCCACATCTCAGAGCCACAGGCTTCAAGGGGAGAGCCCTGAGGAGTGAGGGCGCCGCGTGACCTCCTCCAAGCGCCTGGTGGGTGCCGTCCCGTCTTATTGCCAGTTCCAGAGTAAAGTGCTGGGTCACCCAAAGGCATTGGAAGTGCAAATTCAAGCTCTCCAGGCCAAGGGGTCCTTGTTCAGAGTTCAGAAGCCTCTTGAGGCTGTCCTGTCAGATCACACCAGCTCCTGAGACCACATGCTCAGATCTGTGGAGAGAAAGCCGCAAACAGGAAAAATCAATCTTCTGATTAGAAAATATATGTTGTTGTCGTTAGCTGCTGTCGATCAGCCCCCGACTCATGGCCACCCCATGTACAACAGGATCAGATTTTTGTGATCCACGGGGCTTTCACTGGTTGATTTTTCAAAAGGAAGTAGATCACCAGGCCTTTCTTCCTAGTCCGTCTTAGTTGCAAGCCTCCACTGACAGATGGGTGGTTGCCCTGCCTGGGAATTGAACACAGGTCTCCTGCATGGAGGTAACTATTCTACCACTGATTCTCCATTGCCCCCCTTTCTGGGTCAAGGAAATCTTGTGGGCAATTCAGAGAAGCTCAGCTTGGCTGACCCTCACGCAGGCCTGCCCTGAGCTGCATTGTGCTGTGCAGGGTGTGAGTACACAGTGACAGGAAGCGCCGTTGGGGTGGTGGGGGGAGATGGGAAGGGCGCAGGGACCACTATGATCCCTTTGCGATCATATTTTGTGTTCCTGAGGTGCCATGTCTTATGTATAAGCTGGGCACAGATCCTGGAATCTGAATGAAGGTCTTCCAGAATTGTTTTCACAATAGTTGCCTCTGGAATTTGGAGGCTATCTATTTTCTACAGAATTCTAATAAGAGCAGTTCTAAATATTCCGAGTAGCTGATGCAAAGTTATTTAGAAATGTCTGTGCTTTGCTTAAAGAGCCCTGGTGGTGCAGTGGTTAAAGCGCTTGACTACTAACTAAAAGGCTAGCGGTTCAAACCCACCGGCTGCTCCTTGGGAGAAAGATGTGGCAGTCTGTTTCCATAAAGATTTACAGCCTTGGAAACCGTGTGGAGCAGTTCTACTCTGTCCTACAGAGTCACTATGAGCCGGATTCGACTCGACAGCAACGGGTTTTTGGTTTGGTGTGCTTTGCTTATGATTCATTTTGGTGAACTCCCCAGCTGATGTATCACATGATATGATTTCTAGATTACAAAAGGAAAGTCAGCTGTTCCTAAGAAAGACAAAAATACCCACTTCCCAACATGATCCACCCTGCTGGACCCCAAAACACTGCTGCTCCAGAGTCAGAGCTTTGTCCCCGGCCAGCAACCCCGCTGCTCCTGACCTCACCTCATGGCCTCTCTCCTTCACAAGTTCTAGCTCCAGGCCTGTCAACCTCGTGAAGAGTTCTGTTCCCTCAGCATTGTGCTTAACCCATAGCGTCCCACAGCATACTCCTTAATGTTTGTTTGTTGCCAAACAGCAGCTGTCGATTGCATCACAGTTAAATATCTTCTCTCTGCCCTTAAATCTTAGCCATGTTTCTAACTCTGTGAGTCCAGCTGCCCACTGCAGTATTCCCTGTGAGTGTTCGGGAATAGAAATAGAAACCAAACCAGTTGTCTTTGAGTTGATTCTGACTCATGGCGACTCGGGTGTCAGAGTAGAACTGTGCCCCACAAGGTCTTCTTTTATCTCTTAAACTTAAATTTTTTTAAAAATTGTTTATTTATTTTGTTTTTGAGAATATACACAGCAAAACATACAGCAATTCAGCGGTTTCTACATGTACAATCCAGTGACACTGTTTACATTCTTTGAGTTGTGCAACCATTCTCACTTCCTTTTCTGAGTTGTTCCTCCCCCATTAATATAAACTCACTGCCCCCTAAGGTTCCTATCTAATCTTTTGAGTTTCTGTTGTCAATTTGATCTTATACAGATAGTTCTTAAAAGAACATAATGCTCAATCCATAGGGTTTTCAGTGGCTGATTTTTTTCAGAAGTAGATCCCCAGGTCTTTCTTCCAAGGCACCTCTGGGTGGACTCGAACCTCTGACCTTTTGGTTACCAGCCGAGCACGTTAACTGTACTACCCAGGGACTCTGCTGAGGAATACAGACTGACCAAGACTGGATGATTAGCCTGGGGCTGTACAACTGACACCATCTTTGCTCTCCTAAGCAGGGGCAACGTGAGATGGTGAGGACAAGCCCTGGCTGAAAGGCCACTGAACAGGAAGATCCTGGCACACCTAAACCATTCAGTTGCCCTTTGGGCATTAGTAGAACAGTGGTTATTGCTTAATTCCAGCTGGGAGAGAAAAAGAGGTGAAAAAGAAAAGCAAAGTTATGCCTACTCACAGCTCTGTTCACATCCCTCTTTACTATGGTGGCAGATCTTCCTGTTGTGTCTGAAAAAGAAAAAAACCAGTGAGGGAATAAGGTTATTAAGAAAATGGTTCTGTTTATAGACTGAAAAGTGGCAGAACATGAAGTAAATCCAAATAAATCCACTTATACAAGTCCAAATGTCCACTGCAGCTTGGGACCTCAGGCTGGGTAATGTATAATGAAAACCTGACCCCTACGTAAAAAATGTGAAATAAGAAGCACCCCCTCTTCCCGTTCCTTTGTCTTCCTCTAACCCACAGGGGCCCAGAGGCTGAGAGGCTGCTAATTTGGGTATTCAACCCAGGAAGTGGTTCTAGAACTATCCCTTTCTCTTCTGCTTTAGTCTGGACTGCCACTTCATTCCTACCTGGCCTGGCATAGAGCAGAGGGTCTGATCAATTAGTTCTCCCTAAGGTAAATGACTGATACAAGTCAAAGCAACTCAGGAGCAGAAGCACAAGTTCACTTAAGCTGCTCTCCACCAAGTCTCCTTGGTTTCATCTCTTTCTCAACCCCAGATTTCATATGTCCCCTCCCACTCTGATTCTCTTGCAGGACTTGCTGCCTGTCTCTTGCCAAAGCCTGGGTTCCTGAACCCAGTCTGCTCTTGCAGAATTTACGTATATTTCGAAGAGGCAGAGAAAGAATGGACAATTACCGGTTTTCTAACATAAATGCTCTAAGAAAAGAGGAGTCTCTTTCCTTTTATGCACCAGGGAGAATTAATTTTTTTTTCTTATATTTAATTTTTATTTTCCCTTACATAGAAAAGTCATCTCAGAGAAGTCAGGAGATTCATGCAAGGTCATGGGTTAAAGGGCCACACAGGTCCAAAGCTAGCCTCTGGCCCAGTTTAAAGCCCTGTGCACAGTTCCAGCAGTTCTCAACCTTCTTCCCTGACGCACAAGTTTTGTATGATGGCAGGCACGATGACACACACGTATCCATGCACCTCCCAGGCAAGAAAACAGATTGGAACGTGTGAGTTAGAGGAGGGTTATTTTACAGGCAGCCCTGATTTCACTCTGGTTCATTAAAAACAAAGACACAGAAAAGAATAATTCGCAAATTTCTTCACTTAACTCTCTTACTAGTACCAGTCTCTCCCAGTTGCGACTGGGATCTGAGCCCGGTGCCCCCAGCATGAGCGCTGAGTTCCTGATACCCTGGGATGAAGGGTGAGGGGGGTTAGTCTCCACTTTACCTCCGTGGCATTCTCCCAAAGAGAGCAGGGACAGGGGACTCAGCTGCTCATTTCTGAAGTGACTAGCGGGTCCTTCATCCCCAGGCTTGGAACCTTGGCCTAAACAAACTTTTTCTGAATAGTGGGGGAAGGGGCAGGGAGGTGAAAGAATAAGACTCTATGTGCTGCTTCTGCCGCCACGTTGGAGATCATGGATTTGCAGAAGTGATTCTATTTAAAAGTCAGGGTTTTGTGGGACATGACCCTGCAATTCTTCCTGTTTAGGGTGAAGCTCCCTTTCCTTCCATTTTTATTCATTCTCTCTCTCTCTCTGTTTTCTCTCCCTCTCTCCTTCCTTCTTTCTCTCTCTTCCTTCTACAGTTCTTCAGATTCTGCAGTTGCAGAGTTTTGTGGTCGGCGTCCAAGGCTAGTGCATACATGGGGCGACGGACAAACAGAGCGTGAAGCTACTTCGTCGCAGATGTGAATATAGAAGTTATGACTAAATATAGGCTAACAACCACCTACAAGCCCCGATCTTCAAATACTGACTGCCCCACACGCCGACTGAATTATTCACAGATGCTATTTCCTTTTCTGCAGACAAGCCGTGAGCTGACCTTGGGGGAGCTCCTCAAACCAAAAAAACCAAACCCGGTACTGTCGAATCGACTCTGACTCGTAGCGACTTATAGGACGGAGGAGAACTGCCCACAGAGGTTCCAAGGCTGTAATCTTTGGAAGCAGACTGCCACATCCTTCTCCCATGGAGTGGCTAGTGGGTTCGAACGGCGGACCTTTTGGCTTGCAACCGAGCGCTTAACCACTGCGCCACCAGGGCTCCTGGGTTCTGACAAAGGGACAATTAAGGAAAGCACCAGGTAGGCCTGCAGACATCCCGGGAGTTTTGCAGGTGGGTCCTCCCTGGACAATAGGGCAGACCCGTGAGCAATCAGATCCTCTGGCACAGCTCAAAGGGCAGGTGTGCTCTGTCTCAGCTGGCATAATGGCACAGGAGTGGGGGAGGGAGCTACAAGAGAAAGACCTCAGGGCACCACCAGCCAGGTGCTCCCCTGCCTCCAGAAAACCTCACTAACCTTCCTTTCTTTCCCCAACCAGGTGATGTGGGTTCCTGGGGGCAGGGGAAGGGCTTAATCTGGAACAGCAAGGGACAGATGAGAATCCAAGGAATCCCCAAACAGGTGCCCAGCCTTCTTCCTACCAGCTCGACTCTGGCCTGCACAGCACTGTCTGCATTGCCAAAATAACATTGCTCCCATGAGGCTGATGAAACTTCTTGGCTCAACAAATAAGGCAAATGGCTTCAGCCACAGGAATGAAGCATTCCCTTAGAAACAGCAGAGTCAGGGACTCAGCTGCCTGAAGACTAGAGCCATTTTCTTCTGGGGAAGCCCATCAGGATGAGCCCAAAGCAGATGACAAGCCCCAGATTTAGAGTGAAAGTGGGAAGCCGCAGGCCTGCTGCACCAAGCCAGAGCCTCCCACGCTGCGGGCACTTGGTCAATGTGGTGACCATGTATCAAACTGACTCACCTTCTCTAGAAGACAGCTTTTGACAGAGCCTTTTCCTTAGGATTAGCATTGCAGCCACGAAGATTAAGGTGATGATGCAGGTAGGGATGAAAACGTGGAACAGCATGGTGGCTGGGTCCTCAAGTTTCATCTGATCTGGGTGAAGGAAAAGCACCAGAATCCCATTACGTGGGGGCTTAGAGGTAATCCAACAGGCTCGCCCTGTGAGTGGGTTATAGCCAACAGGGCCACTCCACGTTGCTGGCAAGTCGATTCTTACTCACAGTGACCCTAGAGGACAGAGTAGGACTGCCCCATAGGGTTTCCAAGGAGCACCTGGTGAATTCAAACTGCCGACCTTTTGGTTAGCAGCCTGAGCTCTTAACTACGGTGCCACATGGCCACTAGTAGTAAGCATTTTCTCCATGCCAGGCAGTGTCTTAAGTGCTCTGCATGTATCGGCTCATTTGCTCCTCCAACAGCTCTATTATGACCCCCATTTTACTGTCGAAGAGTGCGGCACACAGGCAGGGAAAATATCCCAGAGTGATACAGTAAGTGACAGCTGAGATTCTGGTTCCAGATTCCATGCTTTTCACCAGTCTGATGTATCATATTAATCACCTGTCCATCCATCCATCCATCATCATCATCATCATCACCATCATCATCTTCCTCTCTCCAGTGGGATAATCCCTCAGCCTGAAAAGCTTCCTTCCACTGACAAGCAATCATAATGCTTGGAATAGATACCATTATTTATTCAATTTCAAGGACTAACAGGACCCTTTCCAAAAAAAAAATAGATTATCCCAGGTAGTGCTAACAGACTAAATCCATACATTCACACTTCAGTGTGAATTAATACAACTAGCCCTTTTCTTTGTGTTGGCTAATCAAGGTCCTGGCACCAAGGAAAAAGACAGACAGGTTTAGTAGGGAACTCTGGGTATCCACAGGTTAGGATAAGGTACCAGACCAACAAGTAGAAGAGCTGGAGGAGGGTTCACAGTAGAGAGATGGGAGGGAGCTCAAGGTCAAAGCCTGGGTAAGTTAGCCTCATGGAGTAAATCATACAGAATAAACATAACAGTCTAGTCCAGGTAAAATCTGGCAACACTGCTCAGAAGGAATTGCTCAGTCTACCAACTTCCCTCCCTCCACCCCATCACAGCGCAGAGAACCAGCGATTGTCTGAGCAATTGAGGCGCTTAGACATTCTTTAGCCTGAGCCCTGGGAGATGCTAAATAAATCTACCTAAGGTCACCACTGCTAAGTAAGTGGCACAGCCAGGAGTGCATACCCAGATCTGTCTCACTCCAAAGCTCAGGCCCCACAGATATTTTTCTCTATCCAAAATGATGTGGCCAGCATTAAGGGAGAAAATTAAAGAGCCCAACTCATCCATACAAGGGATAACCCATGTCTAAATAAATGAATATTGATTACGATAAGTTCCTTCATGTCTAGAGTCTATCAGGTGCTTATTAAGCACTTGCTGCATGTAGCACTGTGACTCAGGAGTCCTGGTCCCTTCAGTGTCCCCACAGTAAGAGAGAGGTTCCTGCTTCAGTCCTTTATGTAAACCCTTGTCCTCTGCAGATTGCCCCTAATCCCTTCCACACAGAAGCTCTCCTCATCCTTGAAGACCTCCTAAAGTTCAACAGTCTGTGTCATGGATTGAATTGTGTCCCCCCAAAATATGTGTCAACTTGGCTAGGCCATGATTCCCAGTATTGTGTGGTGGTTCACCATTTTGTGATCTGACATGAATATTCTATGTGTTATAAATTCTAACCTCTATGATGTTAATGAGGCAGGATTAGAGGCAGTTATGTTAATGAGGCAGGACTCAATCTATAGGACTAGGTTGTATCTTGAGTCAGTTTCTTTTGAGATATAAAAGAGAGAAGTGAGCAGAGAAGAGAGAGACCTCATTACCACCAAGCAAGAAGCGCCGTGAGCAGAGCGCATCCTTTGGATGCGGGGTCCCTGTGCTGAGAAGCTCCTAGACCAGGGAAGACTGATGACAAGGACCTTCCCCCAAAATCAACAGAGAGAGAAAGCCTTCCCCGGGAGCTGACACCCTGAATTCAGACTTCTAGCCTCCTAGACTGTGAGAGAATAAACTTCCATTTGTTAATGTCGTCCACTTGTGGTATTTCTGTTATAGCAGCACTAGATAATTAAGACAGTGAGCATTTGGAGGGCAAAGTCTTCATTTAGATCACCTCTGAATCCGCTACAGAGCCAAGCATCAGCGACATGAAAGGTGTCAGTAAGGGTCTGTTGGGCTGTGTTGATTGTATAGTCCACTCAGCATGACTTTCCCTGTGACTAGCGACCCTGAGGGAGACAGCTGGCTATCCCTCAAATCCATTCTTCCTTTCTTTCCCAGTATTAGGTTGTTAGCTGAGCACATGGTTTCTCCGAGACTACATTCCCTAGCCTCACTGGGAGTTAGATGTGACCGATCATGTAAACTAAGTCCAGGCCCATGGAATGGGTTTTCTGGGTCTTGGCCTTAAACCATTGAACACGTCTTCCACCATTCTCTCTTTTCCTTCCTGAGGGCTGAAACATGGATATAGCAGTGACTCAGCTTTGACAGTTCAACCAGGACAACATCCTGGAGAATGGCAGAGCTACAAGATAGAAGGAACCTGTGTCACTGAAAGACTTTGTGGAATATAGCTACTTACCTGCTCTGAACCACCTTCTGTCTCTGGATGTTACATGAGAAAGAAATATATTTCTGTCTCATTTGAGACCCATGCTTTTGGGTCTGTTTGTCATAGCAGTTTAGCCTGTATCTTAATATGTTTTCTCCAAATTGTTTTATAATAATTATATGCTATTTAACAATGATATGATAATGCAATGGGAAAAATACGTGTCCAATATGCCTAATGCCTACCCACAGTCCCATGTACTCACATTGCCATGGGTCTTTCTGCAAGTGCCATATTATTTTTCCTGTTTCCACCCTTTCTGAGTGCTAAGCACTTTGCAAGAATATCTCATTGAATTCTTGCAGTAAGCTTATGAGGTATCTACCATTATTTGCTCTCATTCTACAAAGAGAGACTGAGTCCAAGGTTGGTTAAGTAATACATCCAACTTCTCAAAGCTAGTAGGTAGCAGAAAGAGGTTTGGAAATTCAGGTCTCTCTGACAGCAGAGCCCATGCTCTTGACCACTGTCACAGATAGCCAGAGTCTTCTCCAGGCCTCCTGGGAAGGCTTCCATTCTCTGTCAGCCCCACAAGGGTCTCTTTATTATCCTTTCCCGGCCCCTAGTCCTGTTATATTTGCTACAGAAAATGCAACCACTGGCTGAGCAGAAGCTCTGCTTCAAAATGAGAATGATCTCACTGCTTCCTTAAAAAAAGTTTATTATGGTAAAATATATACAGTAAAACCTGCGAAAGTTGGAGCCTGTGTAAGGTGGAAAAGTCAAATATTTTCAACTAATAGAGAGTGATAGAGAAGTGGTAAGACTGCACCCTATCAAAGATGGAAAACTAGCGAGACCCAGAAAAACAAGACAGTCCCACTGAGTTCTGGCTCTCTCAGGTTTCACTGTACCACAAACATTTGCCATCTTAACCATTGTTAAGGGTACGATTCAGTGGCATTAAGTACATTCACCATGCTGTACCCAACTTCTAATAAAAAGTTAGGACGTTCAGTCATCCATCGCAGAACCCGTGGAGCACCCCCTCCCCAATCTCATGTCTGGGTTTGTTTCATGCAGTGGCTTCTGCAGAAGCATGTGGTGGGACAGAGCAGTGTGCAGTGAGCAGCAAGCCGTGCACTGTGAGCAGTGTGCAGTGAGCAGTGCGTTGTGCACAGTGCACAGTGTGCAGTGAGCAGTGTGTAGTGAGCAATGTGCAGTAAGCAGTGCACAGCAGGCAGCGTACAATGAGCACCACACTGGGCAGTGTGTAGTGAGCAGTGCTCAGTGGGCAGTGTGCAGTGAGCAGTGCACTATGAGCAGTGTGCAGTGAGCAGCATGCAACAAGCAGTGTGCTGTGAGCAGTGAGCAGTGTGCAGTAAGCAGTGTGCTGTGTGCAGTGTGCAGTAAGCAGTGTGCTGTGTGCAGTGTGCAGTAAGCAGTGTGCTGTCAGCAATGTGTAGTGAGCATTGTGCTGTGAGCATTGTGCAGCAAGCAGTAAGCAGTAAGCCGTGCACATTGCACAGCAAGCAGCATGCAGTGAGCAGTGTGCAGTGAGCGGCGAGCAGTGTGCAGTGAGCGGTGAGCGTTGTGCAGTGAGTGGTGAGCATTGTGCAGTGAGCAGCAAGTAGTGCACTGTGAGCAGTGTGCAGTGAGCAGTGCACTGTGAGCAGTGAGCAATACACTATGTGCAGTGAGCAGTGAGCAGTGTGCTGTGAGCAGTGTGCAGTGAGCAGTGTGCATTATGCACTGAGCAGCAAGCAGTGCACTGTGAACAGTCTGCAGCAAACAGTGAGCAGTGTGCAGTGAGCAGCATGCAGTGTACTGTGAGTACTGTGCAGTGAGTAGTGCCCAGTGCGCAGTGCACACTGTGCAGTAAGCAGTGAGCAGCAAGCAGTTTGCAGCAAGCAGCAGAGAGCAGTGCACAGTGAGCAGAAAGGGAACAGTCATAAGACGACTTTAAAAAGCCTTTCACGAACAGCAGTGAGGAATCCGTGGAAGGATGTGTGACTTCGGTTCTTTTATTGCTGATGTTTGTGCCACACCTGAACGTAAAACAAAAATCCTTATGACAGGACCGATAAGCAACATCATGATAAATAGAGAAAAGATTGAAGTTGTCAAGGATTTCATTTTACTTGGATCCACAATCACCGTCCATGGAAGCAAGAGTCAAGAAATCAAACAATGTATTGCATTAGGCAAATCTGCTGCAAGAGACCTCTTTAAAGGTTGAAAAGCAAAGCTTGAGGACTAAGGTGTGCCTGACCCCAGCCATGACATCTTCAGTTGCCATATGAAAGCTGGACAATGAATAAGGAAGACTGAAGAAGAATTGGTGCCTTTGAATTGTGGCGTTGGCAAAGAATATTGACTATACCATGGACTGCAAGAAGAATGAACAAATCTGTCTTTGTAGAAGTACAGCCAGAGTGCTCCTTGGAAGCGCGGGTGGCGAGACTTCGTCTCATGTACTTTGGACATGTTATCAGGAGGGATCGTGCTTGGTAAAGTAGAGGGTCAGCAAAAAAGAGGAAGACCCTCGGCGAGATGGATTGACACAGTGGCTGCAACAATGGGCTCAAACGTAGCAACGACTGTGAGGATGGCACAGGACCGGGCAGTGTTTTGTTCTGTTGTGCACAGGGTCGCTATGAGTCAGAACAGACTCAATGTTCCCTAACAACAACAACAATTTGTGCCACAAACAAGAACATCATCAGGTTCTCTAGTCTGGTTGTCCATACAGTCTAGTGGCTGGGAGGATGGGACTGGGATTCTCCAAGACTAATCTCCAATCCATTCATCTGACATTTGTTGAGCGCTTCTTATGGGCAGAGCACTCTGCTTTCCCTTTAGTCTGGAAACAAGGAAGACCCATGTGAACAATGAAAATACATGGAAAATAAAACAGCAGTAAAAGAAAAAAGACAAGCACAGTCACAAGGCAATCAAAGAACAGGTGCAGGTTATAGGTTCTAGGAGGCAAGATTAGGGAAGGATTGCTGGTACCCTGGAGTTACCTCCTCTCGGAGAAGACTTGAGCTGCCCTGGAGAGAAGCTGGGCTTGGAGCTGGAGGAGAGGGTGAATGGTAATTTATGTGGAAGGAAATGCATGAGCCAAGAAGGTATGGAGGAGGGGAGGTGACAAGCAAGTTCAGAGAGCACACGGTGGTGAAGAGGAGCTGACTGGAGCCGAGGCTGTCTGTCAGGGAATGTTGTTGTTGTTTGCTGTTGTCCAGTCGGCCCTGACTCATGGTGACCCCATGCACAATGGAACAAAACACTACCTGGTCCTGTGCCATCCCATGATCAGTTGCAAATCAGACCATTGCCCATAGGGTTTTTATTAGCTGACTTTTGGAAGTAGATTGCCAGGCCTTTCTTCCTATTCTATCTTAGTCTGGAAGCTCTGCTGAAACCTGTTCAGCATCACAGCAAAATGCAAGTCTCCACTGGCAGATGGGTGGTGGCTGTGCATGAGGTACATTGACTGGGAATCAAACCTGGATCTCCTGCATGGAAGGCAAGAATTCTACCACTGAATCACCAATGTCCCCTGCCAGGGAACAGTAGGATGAAAGCTAAGAAGGCTGGGTAAAACCACATTGAGAATCTCTTGATGGCACAAAGGTTTCCCCATCTCACTGCTGGGTGCCTTAATGAGTGATCCCTGTGGAGATCCTGAGCTCTCATACAGACCCCACAGGCCACTCCCATGGCTGTTGACACTGCAGTCACCCATTTCTACCAGGGGGAGAGGGCCAACCTACTCCATTCCTAACTTCTCAAAGCATCAAGGCTTCTGCAGAAGTGGTCAGTTTGCCCTTCCTTTTCTCCACTACCTAGAAAAAACCACTGAGGTCATCAATGGTGCAAAGGGTGGACCTGAATGATTTCAAAACTCACCTTGCTGAGGTCCCTGTATCCCTCCAGAGATCCTTATGTAAGTGTCCTCCTAGAAAACCACATTTCATCCGAGAAGAACAAAGTACTGGGCTACACTTAAGTGGGCAGGAAATTCTACATGACAAAGGGAAGTTGAGTCAACAATTCCAGGAACAGTAAGTGCCCTTGGGACTGTTCATATTTAAGCCTCTAACACTCTAGTGTGAATTAGTTATACCTCATTTTTCATAAGTTGATGAATCTGGTGGTCTTAGCAGTGACAAAAAGAGAGATAGAGAAGTTTGAAAGGTCAATTTGCCTAATTCATTATTTTCACCCAAAGTTGGGCCTAAAAATGGTGTCTTTCTAATATCTTTATGTCTGTCAAGATAACCCGCTTGGCAGGACTCCTCTCTGTACTTCCTTACTTCATCATCAGAACTTAGAGAGAAGCTGGGCTAACTTTAATGTTGGAATTGGGCAGCAGATTGGGGTAGACAAGCGGAGGGGTGGTGGAGGGAAACAGCAATATAGCTGACTGCCTCTGAAAACTATTTTAGATTTTGGACTTTTGACCTCTAGAACTGTAAGATAATAAATCTGTGTTGTTTGAAGCTACTAAGTTTACGGTCATTTATTACAGCAGCGACAGGAAACTTATACACTTGGTAATAAAATGACCTGTCTCTGTGGAATGATTACTATACTAGATGTTAATTACTTTTTATAAAATGTCCTTGTCTGGCAAATAGACAGTGGCCAGTTCCCCAGAATTGTTTGACATTTTGCTGGTGTATGTATAAAGCTCAACAGTACAGGATACACTTCAAAAAAAATCCAGCAGAGCCAGCTGAGGATGTGGAGCTTTCTGTAAGAGGACAGCTTTCCTGGAAATACCCTAAACTAGCGAAGTAACTGCAAGGCCAGCAGAGTGACATTCATTCTGCTGACTCCCCAAACCAAAAAAACAAACCCCCTGCCATCAAGTCAATTCTGACACATAGCGACCCTATAGGACAGAACAGAACTGCCTCCTAGGGTTTCCAAGGAATGGCTGGTGGATTCAGACTGGAACCTTTTGGTTAGCAGCAAGACTGTGCCACCAGGGGTCCTGCTAACCCATGATACTGTGCAGTCAGGCTTGTAGTCAGCTCCTGCCTGGAGTAGTTAGTGTTGCCGTGAACATTACCTGTTTGCCTCTGCAGAGCCACACCCTACCCTTCCGCACTCTGCTCCCAGCCCTGAGAAGCTGACCTTTATCGAATCCATCAGTGGGCTCCTTCCTTCCCCTCTGACTTCTGGTTGGGTTCAGCCAATGGGAGGTTGTTATAGAAATGAGGCAAAGATGGCCTCTGTGTATTGGCCCCAAGTTGTTCATTTCTTCATAGCAAGCTGAGACCCCTTAGCCTGCTGATGCCAAACTCAAATTTGTACACATTCCATTATTTTTCAAATAGCCCAAATAAACAAATTTCTAGTCAAGAGTCTACCTATTTCACATACCTTGTGAAACTGTGCCAAACATCTGCTAGCCCCAGTAAGATAAACTTCTTTAGATATAGGGACCCGAAGGCGCTGCTCCACCACCAGTCTATGAGTTTGTGGAACTGTGGAGGCTTGCATGTTGTTATGATGCTGGAAGCTATGCTGCCAGTATTGCAAATACCAGTAGGGTCATCCATGGAGGACAGGTGTCAGTGGAGCTTCCAGACTAAGACAGACTAGGAGGAAAGGTCTGACGATCTACTTCCAAAAATTAGCCAATGAAAACCCTATGGCTCACAGCAGGAAACTGCCCGATATAGAGCTGGAAGATGAGCCCCCTAGGTTGGAAGGCACTCAAAATACACAGTGGCCACAACGATGGACTCAAGCATACCAATGATTGTGAAGATGGCCCAGGACCAGATAATGTTTTGTTCTATTGTACATGAGCTGGAGCCAACTCGACAGCAACTAACAACAATAACAAGGTGCCGAGGTCTTTGGAGCTCTGTTGACCCAGAGACTGCCTACCTTGCAGTGAAAGGACACTGCACAACGACACTAAAGCTCCCTGCCCCTTCTCTGCCTCTGGGTTTTCTTGCCTTCTTCCCATCTGGCGGCTCCCTGTGTTGCTTGCCCTTAGAAGACCTCCTGCTGTGGGGGACCACCCCCTGCATGGGGCTGCCAATGCGTAGGCCTCAACGCTGCTGTCTCACGGTCGTATCTTTTTTCTTGATTGGTTCCAAATTCCCTAAAACTCACCTCAGAGGCACCAGCAGGAGATTGGAGGGGGAGAGGAGAATGAGGTCGGGGTATTCACGCACCCAGCTTCCACTCTGTGGAGTTGCTGCAGGTGCAGCCTCCCCCTCCTGCAGACCGCGGCTGCCTCTAGCTGCCTCTCCAGGTCCCAGTGACCACTCACTCCAACACTGGGAATTGCTCCCCCACTGTTGAAGCCCAGGATCTTGCGCTAGCCTTTGTTGGTTTCTTTAACCCCTGCTCATACCTCCATTACACTCTCCTCCAGTTGCTCATTTTGAGTGTGCATCGTGTTTCCTGCCTGGACCCTGGCAGATGGAGCCAGGAAGCTGGCAGCTATTACCTTGAAGGTCAATGATGGCTGACGTACGTTCCTTTACGTTCTCATTCCAGAACACACAGCTGAAATTTTGGCCAGGGTGTGGCTTTAAGCGAAGAACACTGGTGACCTGGTAGAGGTTCTCGGGGGTCTTGGTGTGGCTGGTGTTGGCAGGAACACTGACATCTGGCCAGGAAACTTCTGCTAGGGGATACCCTTCAGCCTGACAGGTGAGCTCCACCTCACCTGTTCCTGGGACCCTAAGGACATGAGTGTTTATTTTCTTGTAGGAACCTGGACAAGAGAAGAAGAAAAAAAACAAGTTTTTTTGATTCTTGTAAAACTTTGTATTTAGTGCCATGTGAAATGAATAAAATGACTATTGTCAATATTAAGCAATAATGGTTTTCATGTATCAAACACTTTCTGTGTGCCAGATACCATGCTATGTTATATACACTGAACTCTTTAATTCTTATAACACAACAAAGAAAGCATTGTTGCTAGTCCCATTTGTTGTTGGCAATAACTGGATCTAGAGAGGTTGAGCATTTTGCCTACAGTCACATGGCTCATAAGTGGTGGAGCCAACATTTGAGCATTGGAAGTCTGATTCCAAACCTCAGCAGTGCTCTAAGCAACATGTGGCTTCCTGTAGTACTGGAAATTCTCTCACCACTGTGGGTTGGAGAGGGGAAAGAGGGTGGATACATAAAATCACTAGATAATCCCCAAATCTCACTTAGTTGGTACTTTTTCAAACATCTTCAGGAGAAAACTGACTTTCTGTTTCCCCCTTTCCACTGTTCTCTTTGATGTCAAGAGGAGAAAAAATAAAGACCTAGATAAGAAGTCTATCTGTGCTCAGGGGTTGGGTGTAATTATTGTGTATTTCTTCTGCCTGACACAGACACATGCATATGCACACATGTACACAGTTCATGCACACACATGCATGTCTGCACACACACGTCTGTGTGGTGTATACTGAGTGAACTAATCGCTATGGCTCCGTGCCCTCTAGAAAACTGAGCTCTGAGCTCTAGATGGACGCAGATGGTATTGAGAGCAATGGAAAGACACAAGGACAGACAGACTGTCCAATTATCTGAGCTAATAGCTAAAAATAACTTAAGCTTTAAGACGATATGCAGATACCAGAGAGTGTGGAAAGTAACCTGTTGGTTTTTGGTGAGAGGAAGACGGAATGAACACTGGCTTTCATTACGTAGGTAATGTTTCTTTAAGAAACAGAATTTCAATAAAAATCTTTGAGGGAAAAAAATATATGACACAGGTGTAATGAAACTATTTTTTTCTTAAGTCATTGGGAGGAGTATAAGTGGATATATATGTTTTGAAAAACAACTTTGCATTAAAATAATGACACAGCCATGTGGAAAACCTCAGATATGTATGATTTACTAAGTGCTTTCTATGTGCTGAGCTTTGAGCTTTCACATACTATGGATGAGGAAGAGACAGTCTGCCCACCTCCCTTGTTGTGTGTTGCTATGTTAAAAACAAACAAAAAAACCCATACCTGTTGCCATCATGTTGATTTCAACTCATAGCAACCCTATAGGACAGATTAGAACTGCCCCATAATGTTTCCAAGGAGTGGCTGGTGGATTTGAACTGCTGACCTTTTGGTTAGCAGCCAAGCTCTTGAACAACTGCACTACCAGGACTCCCTATGCTAGGAGTTGCTAATTAGATTGGCTATATAGCAAAGACACTCACTAGGTCACAGTTCATTAGGCAGCAGGGTACCTCGATGTATAATCTACGGACCCTGCAGCCTCTTTTGAAGTTCTGGTCTCCATGGGGTAAGCATCCCTAGCTGGGCCTGCCCTCCTGCCTTACAGGCTCTGGTGTCTACCTTTGTTGTTGTTGTGAGCTGCCATCAAATCAGCCCTTGACTCATGGTGACCCCATGCACAACAGAAGGAAATGCGGCCTGGTCCTGTGCCATCTCCATGATCAGTTGCAGCTCAGACTGTTGCGATCCATAGGGTTTGCACTGGGTGATTTTCAGAAGTAGATCACAGGCCTTTCTTCCTATTCCATCTTAGTTTGGAAGCTCTGCTGAAACCTGTTCAGCATCACAAGCTTCTGCTGACAGACAGTGTTGGCTGTGCATGAGGTTCATTGGCTGGAAGTTGAACCCATGTCTTCTGTATGGAAGGTGAGAATTCTGGTACTGAACCACCATTTCCTCGATATCTTCCTAGCTCACAGTATTCCAGCTTCTGCCAGGGACTAGGTGGGTCAGGCAGATTTTCTTATCCATGAGGTTGGGTGGATGAGTGAGTGTTATGGATTGAATTGTGTCCCCCAAAAATGTATGTCAGCTTGGCTAGTCCCTGATTCCCAGTACTGTGTGATTGTCTACCATTTTGTCATCTGATGTGATTTTCCTTTGTGTTGTAAATCCTATGTCTATGATGTCGATGAAGCAGGATTATAGGCAGCTATGTTAATGAGGCAGGACTCAACTACAAGATTAGGTTGTGTCTTAAGTGAATCTCTTTTGAGATATAAAAGACAGAGCCAGCAGAGAGACATGGGGAGCTCATACCACCAAGAAATAAGAGCCAGGAGAATAGCGCATCCTTTGGACCTGGTGTCTCAGTGCTGAGCAGCTCCTCAACTAGGGAAGATTGATGACAAGCACCTTCCCCCAAAACCAACAGAGAGAGAAAGCTTTTCCCTGGAGCTGGCACCCTGAATTCAGACTTCTAGCCTCCTAGACTGTGAGAGAACAAACTTCTGTTTGTTAAAGCCGTCCATTTGTGGTATTTCTGTTATAGCAGCACTAGATGACTTAGACAGTGAGCTTGGGGTCTGATCTGCAAACCTGGACTCTTAGATTGACAACAAGGGAGCAAGAAGCAAGATGCCCCCTGTTCTAAGTCATGTTCTCTAGAAGAGATTACCAGAGAAGCCCCAAAGTCGGGGGGAGAGGAAAGGGAGGAAGCATGTGTTCACCCTAATATTAATAAAAAATGAGGCCCATTTCCCATATGGCTATTGATTCTTGTGTATTTAGATCATTTAGTCAAGAACTTGGAGAGGAGTAGGGATAAGTAGCTCTAAACTTGACTCCAGATCCTTAACACATGCTGTGGTTGTTGTTAGTTGCCATCGAGTTGGCTCCAACTTATGGCAACCTTATATATAACCGAATGTAACATTGGCCGGTCCTATGCCATCTTCAGGATCATTGCTATGTTCGACCCACTTGTTGTGACTATTGTGTCAACCCATCTCATTGAGGGTTTCCCTCATTTTTGATGACCTTGTACTTTACTAACCATGATGTCCTTTTCTAGTGATTGATCTTTTCAGAGTATGTGTCCAAAGCAAATGAGCCGAAGTCTCACCATCCTCACTTTTAAAGAGCATTCTGGTTGTATTTCTTCTAAGACTGATTTGTTCATTCTTCTGGCAGCCCATGGTGGATTCAGTATTCTTCCCCTAACACATACATTATCTCATTTAAACTACACAATGACCCCATGAGGTAGGTACAATTTATATCTTATTTTGTAGATGAGGAAACAGCTGGGTTTCAGCACTGGAAGCCTGACACATGTCCTTCTCTCCTACAGTTCTGCATTCTACACAGGATCACCCAAAGAGAATGATTCTCTGTGTAGCTTCAGAGGTCTGGGGTTGGAGCAATATAAACAGGAAGAAGAATAGGTTTTCCTGGTGGACTTAGAAAGGAGCTTTAGTGGCACAGTGGTTAAAGCGCTTAGCTGCTGTTTGAATCCACTAGCTGCTCCATGGGAGGAAAATGTAGCAATCTGCTTCTGTAAAGATTGTAGCCTTGGAAACCCTATGGGCAGTTCTACTCTGTCCTATAGAGTCTCCATGAGTCAAAATCGACTTGACAGCAGTGGGTTTCATTTTTTGGGTTTTGGAGCACCCCAAAGTAGTAGAAGATGAGGAGAATCAGGTTCTGAAGCAGCCTACTGAAAGGCTTGACCTGGTTGGACTCACTAGGCTCCATGGAGCCTAATTTTGGCCTACCTCTAACAATCAACATCTGAAAGTCCCTGGTTAAACACTCGACTACCAGCCTAAAGGTTGATGGGTTGAACGCACCTACAAATGTCTTGGAAGATAGGCCTGGCGATTTTCTAAAAGGCCACAGCCTTGAAAACCCTATGGAGCAGTATTACTGTGGACACATGGGGTCTCCATGAGTCGGAATCGACTCAACAGCAACTGACAACAGCCACAACAACATATCTCTAGTTTTATTTTATATAGCTACGCTTATTTTCCCTTGGTTTGATGCTCTCTTCTAATCATTTCGTTCTGTTATGTGGTAGATTATTTTGGTAAGCTCGTCAGGTCATTTTGAGGATGAAGTAGAATAAATGGATTCATAGGGACACTGTATTGTGGCTGACGGTCTGGCCTGCATCTGCAGGGTGGCTCAGGACAAGAAGCTGACCTTGATGGCAGTAATGAGAGGTGGCTTCAGAGGTGGGAGGCCCAGGAATCAGGAGCTGGGCTGAGGCTTTGACCTGGGATATGAAAACGAGGGAGCAGATGGGAGAGATGTTAGCCTTAAAGAATCGGCAAGATTTGGGAAAGGCCAGAGGTCCGCGTCCTACTTTTATACAATGGTATATTTATATCATATCAAAGCACTACCACAGCCTCTTTCCCGTTTGGAAAGTAGCCGAGAAGGCAACATGATCAACAGCGTACAACAAAGAAGCTGAACTGAGGGTGATATTCTTAGGAAAAGATGAATAGATTTTAGAATTTCAGAAGTGGGAGTGATCTTAAAATTCAGCTCGCTCAACTTCCTACTTTAATGAGAAACATCTTTTACAGCATCTCTGCTAGATAACTATCTTGATGAATGTCCCACGTGTACTTGAATATAATGTGTGTTCTGTAATTGTGGGGTGTAAGTTCCATATATTCTGTTAGGTTAAACTCACTAATTGTGTTGTTCAAATCTTCTATCTTCTTATTTGATTATTTTTTCTATCAGTTACTGATAGAGGTGGATTGAAATGTCCAGACAGGATTGTCTGTTTGTCTATTTCTCCTTTTAGGTCTGTCAGTTTTTGTTTGATGTGTTTCGAAGCTATGTTGTCAGCTGCAGAATATTTCAGATTGTTACGTCTTCCTGTAGAATTGACCCTTTTGTCATTGTGAAATGTCTCTCTTTATCTTTAGTAATGCTTATTTTCTAAGATTAATAACCTGCTAGATAACTAACTTTGGGTTAAATAGATCCATGAATGGGAGCCACTCCTTCCAGG